GTAAAGGATTCTTGTCCACACCTTCAGATGTATTAAGCATTTAGTACTAGACCAGAATTTTATAGACCAACTGGCACTCGGTGCGTGATGTGGTCACCATATGTCAGCCGCCTTTACTTCCCAGGAACTCAACTGGTACCAGTTTAAGACTGGGTCTACCGGGTAGCTGAGGTCGGTTTTGAAAATGTCCGGTTCCTTGTTTGTTTGTTTTTTTTATCGATCACCGGCTGTGAATTCCAGTGGAAGGTCCCGGTTAATCGTCCGCTTGGACTTTTGGCTTTCACCTGGACCTGATTTTTGCGTGTACAACCGTTTTTCATTTCCCTGCCTCATGGGCAGCTGTACTCCGACTTCGAAGGAAGACGTCAGGCCTATTTCTAGGTTCACTGTGGCCATTGTTTTGTGTGGGTCGAGACGTTGCCTGATTTGTGTGGTGTCCACTTTGTCTCCTCCGCAGGTATTGCCCTCGGAGTACCCCTTTGGGGCAGCCCCCTGTGGAACAGTTAGCCTTCAAGGGAAGGCAGGGGCAGATCATGGGCATTCCCCGCCATCCAAGGAGGCTTCCATGCATGCAGAGCCGGCACATGCGCTCTGGTTCAGTGGCTCACCCAAGAAATCGTCCACGTCCTGCACATGCCTGCTTAACCTCACAACCGTATCAGGCCTCCCGACTCGACAGGGGCTGCGCCCTCTGAAGTCAGCAAGCGGGAGCAGCCCGTGGGTTTTGGACTTTTGTGACCAAACAAGATAGGTACATTGTTTTTTCTTCGCACGTTAGATTTCTTTGACGAGCCGTTAGCCCGACAGAATTTTACATCCTGCATCAGGCATATCGTTATCAGTTTTGTCCCAACACTCGGGCGAGTGGGGTCTTGGGTGTGGGACATTCGGTCTTTTCAGTTCAATACGAATTTGATGGTCAGATTTTGATCCGTATGATCTAGTTTTGTCGGACAATTAGGATGGTTGCTGTCTGTGGTGTACCTCAGCGCGGTGTCGACGACACTGAGGGTTAACCGAGGATGTACATGAATGGCCAGCCTATAGGATGGTTGCTGTTGTGGTGTACCTCAAGCGCGGTGACGACGACACTGGGGGTTTAACCGAGGATGTACAAGGATGGCCAGCCTATGGATGGTTGCTGTTGTGGTGTACCTCAGCGCGGTGACGACGACACTGAGGGTTAACAGAGGATGTGCAGTGAACAATGTTCTCTTTACCACCGCAGTCTTTTAACCAAGGGTTGTAATTTTTGGCTGTACGTTTGGATCAAACCTACTCATGTTCCTAATGAGTTTTGATAACATTTTTCACCCAAGCGTTTGGGGCGGGCTGATGAGAGCCACAAGGACACATCACCTCTGGGGGCCGCCGAACTCCGAGATCCCCTGACAGCTCTGTTAATGCTCATTTGAGACATTATCCGTGGCGCACGACGAGGACGTGCTGTAGGGGTCTTGCGTGAGGTTCCGTACAACCAGGATAGTTAAGGACTGGCGCCCGAGTGACGTACGGAGTATCTCCTTATACACATCATGTTGGACTTAACTTCCCCTCACGCCTGTGACATAAATCACCGCGCCACCGGTTCCTTGTGTAAGAGAAGGAGAGAGATAAAGAGGGTTGAGATCGAAAGAAGAGGTAGAGAGTGAGGGTTGGATTCGCTCTTCTTATGTAGAAGCCAGACATCACCTGGTGACGTAATAGGTGGCTGTTTATATTGACGGAGAGACAGATAGATAGACAGAAGAAAGAAAGAAAGAAAGAAAGAAAAGAAAGAAAGAAAGAAAGAAAAGAAAGAAAAGAAGAAAGAAAGAAAGAAAGAAAGAAAGAAAGAAACGAAGAAAGGAAGAAGAAAAGAAAGAAAAAAGAAAGAAAGAAAAAGAAAGAAAGAAAGAAAGAAAGAAAGAAAGAAAGAAAGAAAGAAGAAAGAAAGAAAGAAAGAAAAGAAAGATAAGATAAGAAAAGACAAAGACAAGAAAGACAAGAAAGAAAGAAAAAAAAGAAAGAAAGAAAAGAAAAAGAACGAAAGAAAAAGTAAAGAAAGATAGAGAAGAAAAGAAAGAAAGAAAGAAGAAAGAAAGAAAGAAAGAAAGAAAGAAAGAAGAAAAGAAAGAAAGAAAGAAAGAAAAGAAAGAAAGAAATTGAAAGAAAGAAAGAAAGAAAGAAATGAAAGAAAAGAAAGACAAAAGAAGATAAAGAAAGAAAGAAAAGAAAGCCCGAAGGAAAGATAAAGAATAAAGAAAGAAAGAAAGAAAGAAAGAAAGAAAGAAAGAAAGAAATGTATAGAGAGAGAGTATTGGACTTGTTTTGTAGAGAAACCAGGCTTTATAAGGAGGCTATTGAAAGGGCAGTGAAGGAGGTAGCAGAGGAGGAGAAGAAAGAGAAGAGAGAGAGTAAAAGAGATGGGAGGGAAGGGAAAGTAGAAGTTAGAAAGATTAAATAGACACCAGTCATGGGTGTTTAGTCTAAGTCGAGGTTTGAACTCCAGTGAGTATGGCGTCAGTTGTCGGCATGCACGCTTCTGTTTAACAAAAGGTTTTCTAATACTTCACTACTACTACTACTACTACTACTACTACTACTACTACTACTACTACAACTACTACTACTACCACTACTACTACTACTACTACTACTACTACTACTACTACTGCTGCTGCTGCTGCTGCTGCTGCTGCTGCTGCTCAGTGATATTGCAAAATTCTGTAGTACCCGAAGCGGAAAATGCCCCCCCCCCCTTTTTATTAACGCTCACACACATACAGTTTGTTTTGGTTAAATACACATATTTTTTCACTTTAATAGCCCTCCAACCCCCGCCCCCCCCCCCCTTTTCCCCGTTTTTATCCAGTGATGACACCCAGTGCGGCCCACTGGCCCAGCGACCGTAAGCTTCTTAGTATGTCTTAGCCTCTTCTATAGCTTTTAGGACACATTCTACTACATTTACTGCCACTGCTACTAATTCTTCTTCTTCTTCTTCCTCTTCTTCTTCTTATTCTTCTTTTTCTTTTCCTTTTTCTTCTTCTTCTTCTTCTTCTTCTTCTTCTTCTTCTTCTTCTTCTTCTTCTTCTTCTTCTTCTTCTTCTTTCTTTCTTTCTTTCTTTCCTGCTTCAATCGAAATT